ATGAAGACTTGTACGGTGACTATAATACGAGATTTTTTATCTACTGGACAGTAAGTTTTGACTGTTTGAGAGTTTAATTTACTGTCTAGTGCTTTTTTCACATGAATTCCTATGGACCATATCATCTTTGTCCACTAACAAAATATTGGGAATTCAAAACAGCGAGATGCATACCAACACACAGGCTGCTACAATCTTCTGTGCAAAGGGTTTGTTCTGGCGGTCAACACTTTCGCCCCTGGTGGAATCATCGATCTTACGTCAGTGTATGGAGGTCAACAACACGAAATCAGTTTACTCATATGGAGGGTAATAATCATCGGATTCTTTGGCCAATCAAGCATCGAAATTCTATACAACCATAACCGAAATCGTTTTTGATTCAGGAAAAAAACACAGGAGACTGGTGGCTCAAAGTTGATGGAGTAAACGTCGGGTACTGGCCAAACTCGTTGTTCACTAGCCTGAAGGATAGCGCGGACCGAGTGGATTGGGGAGGTGAAATTGTGAACGCACAGTACATGCATGGACACACAAGCACAGGTATGGGAAGTGGGCACTTTCCAGAAGAAGGGTATGGAAAGGCAGCCTATTTCAGGAACCTTGAGATAGTTGATGCGTCTAACACTTTTAGGCCACCGCCACCACTTGAAGTCCCCACCTCGAGACCTGGTTGCTACGGTGTCCTCGTCGGAGACACGGGTACAGCAGCTGGGACTTACTTCTACTATGGCGGTCCAGGCTCAAACCCTAACTGCCGTTGAAAAATGGTTTTATGTTGTCTGGATGATCACGACGTGGCATGCTCCCGGGAATAAAGTAGTAGGACTTTATGTAGTGATTTAAATATATATATCATATATCCTATGTTTGGTAATGAATAAATATATGATAATAAATTTAAAAATCGAACTAACGCACCATTTTCGCGCCAAGTCAAATTCTTCTTCAGAGGAAAAAAGCATATAGTTTTATTAAGAATTGAGATATATTTTTTCTTTGCAATTATTCTTCTT